TCAATGAATAACAACGTATACGGCTATCGATTTATTAGTGCTCTGACGTGAGAGAAGAAAGAGAGTATGTGAGTCTGATAAATAGGGAAAGAGTGTGTGAGAGAGATTGTGTGATAAAGTGAGATAGAGTATGTGATAAGGAGAGAGAGAGAAAGAGAGAGAATGAGCGAGAGAGAGTGAGTGAATGAGAGAGAGTGTGTGAGAGTGTGATAAAGAGTGAGCGTGTGTGTGATAAGGAGAGAGAATGTGTATATATGTGTGATAAGGAGAAGGGGAGTGTGAATGTGATAAGGAGAGAAAAGTTGTGAGTGTGATAAAGAGAGTGGGGGAGATAGAGCATAAGTGTGATAAAGAGAGAGAGAGGGAGTGAGTGAGTGTGATAAGGAGAGAAAGAGTGTGATTAGGAAAGAGAGAGTGTGTGTGAGTGTGATAAATAGAGAGAAGTAGAGAGTTTGAGCGTGATAAACAGAGGGAGTAGTTGAGTGAAAGAGAAAGCATTCTATTTTGGGCTTGATTTGGTCTGTGGCTTTAATGTCTGAATACATAACTTACTTAAATACAGATAATATCTTTAAAGAAACGTTTCGATTCTTCATACATAAATGACTTTAAAAGAAATGTTTTTGTGTCAGAATAAACGAGTTTACTAAAGGTATGTGTTAATAAATCGCATTGATGCACACATAAACACACAGATGCAGACATAACATATCTATTTGCAAGCATATCGTTGGATTGCTGCCATAATTGTCAGTTGACGCCTGCTTCGTGCTTACGTCACCTATGGGCGTTAATGTAAGTCAGAAATGCAAATAGTCCTTGTATAAATTTGATACTATTGACTGAAAAAGACTGAAGGCAGTTCCCATCTTCGAGATAGACAGCTTCATATTTATAACCAATGAAAATTATTCGGTAATTAGACTAACGGCAGCTACATCTGCACACTGTCTCAAATGCGCTATCTATAAATTCTCACTTGGCGTATCTAGCTGAGTCCAGCTGATTGCAAAGTGATGTAATCATCCAGTTGTAGTCTAATCTTTTTACGCTTAAATTTACTCTTAAGGTATGTTCCTAGCTCGACTCCAACCCATTATCATATTTCATTTCATGGTCAGATTTTGGAAACGGCCTTGAACTTTTCTGCACACCGCATATGTATGAGGAGAAAGTCACTTTCAAGACACTTCAAAAGTCTTTGGCGTGTCACGTGTGTAAAAAGGTATACAGTATCGAGAGTGTTTTGCAAAGTCATCTGCTGGCACATGCCGGCTCAGTTGAAGAGATAATCTCTTTTTCTCTAAAGGTGTGGTCAAACTTGTTTCATTTAAGGGCCACATTCGTTAAAATTCAAATGGTTGAGAGACGCAAGGCATGAACAAAATTTACACAAATGTTTTTGTTAAACATTAAACGTACATTTTAATAAAATAGGTTTACATTTCATACCCAGTAAGTAATTATAAAGCTAGAAAATTTTATTTGCCTTTTGTAATAACTGTGATGAAAAATGAGATCAGATAAAATATTACCACGACCCGCATATTCAAGGTCAGAAAGCCGCATGTAGCTCGTGAGCCGCAATTTGGCCACACCTGATATATATATATATATATATACAGTGTAACCCGGATATAAGAGACCCAGATATAAGAGAAACCCGGATATAAGAGAAATTTTTTCCGGTCCCAAATTAGAGCTTGAGTTAATGTATATAAAATAGACCAAACCCGGATATAAGAGAAACCCGGATATAAGATACTTCTTCTCCGGTCCCGACAACTCTCTTAGATCCGGGTTACACTATATATATATATACAAGTATATAATTCGTATATACGGAATGAATTCCAATAACCAACAATTACTATTCTTAAAAGAGTGCTCAATACAAAGTAGAGCAGATATAATTATTTTTATAAAAAAAAAAATTATAACATAAGTATGTTATAAAATCACTACAAAAATAGCCATTTTGTTTCAACACACTCTGTGTCTTATCAAGTGATGATGTTGAAAATAAAAAAAATAAAAATAAAATCATTTTTTTATTTTCAACATCATCACTTGATAAGACACAGAGTGTGTTGAAACAAAATGGCTATTTTTGTAGTGATTTTATAACATACTTATGTTATAATTTTTTTTTATAAAAAATAATTATATATATATATATATTTGTGTGCGTGTGTGTGTGTGATTAAAATAGCTATGAAGTATCCGAAAAAAGTACATCCTTAGAACTTACATGGTATTATCATAAATTATTATTTGAATTTATGATTTCATGATTTTCCTTCCATATATAAATTGCTCTATTTTCTTAAAGTAACTCTTTCCATTTTCGCTGCATCAAATCCCTATCGTTTTCATTTAGCCGGTGATAGTTTACAGACATTTATTCTATACAAAAATATTTATTTTTTATTTTATTAACTGTTAAATTTTCAGAAGAAATTAAAATTAACCACATAGCTTCTAAGTATCAACGTTGCCATTGTAATGATTTGTACTTGTTTTTTAAATTGTTCTCTTGATTGAATGAACCGTTTGCAGCAAAATCAAAATGTATAGCTTCCAAGTTATTTTCATATATTCCTGAGACACCTCCTCTCTCACGTGCCAAACATGTTATGGATTGAGTTGGATCTTTTCTAATTTATCTCTTTAGCTCTAAGTTGAAATGATGATCCCTCTTGCTGTTGTGACCTCCTGATCCAACTTTTTAAAACTTATTCACCGTTCTCTTGACAATATGAATGTTGGCACCATTACTGAAAGCCTCAATGATTTTTTTCTTTTCACCATTGCTCATTTGGGAAGACAGTGGTTCTGACACAAAACGATTTTAACCTGTTCTCTTTCTAGCTAATTAACTGAAAGGGTTTTTCAGTGATTCTTTCGATAAATAGTGTCCATTTGACTAAACGTTTCTCCGAAAACCTGGAAAAAAAACTCAGTTCAGTGGATTTTTAGATATTAAACATTTTGTGGGATGGACAATTTTGCTTTTACACAATTTGGACAATTTTGCTGTTACACTCAGTATATATTATTAATTAAAACTGTAGTGGATATTCCTATTGGAAAAAGACGGCCCTTTTATTTTAAAAATCTGCCGGCGTTTTCCAGAAAGCTTGATTTTAAAAAAGTGCTCACCTGCCGGTATAAAACCTGCGTCTCTCATTGAAGGCGAAAGTCCATATCTGCTCAGTTTCGTACCCGAAATTAAAAAAAAGAAATTATTAAAGAATTGATCGATTTATTATCTCGCCAGGATGCGGTGAATAAATTGCCGTGTAGATGACGCAAAAATGAAAATAACACAAACATCAAATTTTTAACAGACATACTTGTAAAATGACACAACATATCTAGAAACACTAAAAAGTTAATTCATTCAATAAAATTGCCATTGGTTTCAGCCATGGCCTCCAGACGACTTCCGAACCTCCTGCATCTCTTCTAGCGGTCTTCTACGTTGGTGAATGCTGTCATAATCTTTGCCTTCAGTTCATCTTTGGTGTGACAAGGAGGTTTTGATGGTCTCTCGTTCAACTGCGCCCCACTCATAATAATTAGGGAGTTACAGTCTGGTGACAGGTGGCCATATATAAGGGGTGGTGTGGTCGCAGAAATTAACTTACAACCATGACAGGTTTCTCCTGCTTGTGTAGTCCTCAGACAAAGCGTTTTCCAGCAGCCACACACTTGACCCCGGGCAGCACTACCTCTTCCAGATATTTGATGTAGGCCCCTTGTTGAGTCTGAGGCCATGTGGGAAGATGACTGGAGGCATAACATCGCCATCACTAGTGATCACTCCAAATATGTGATCCAAATATATCATCCAAGTCTTTCCGAATCATCTGCATTGTCTTCAGATTGACACCCAAAGACTTTAAAATGTTTGTATTGGAGATACCGGCGCGAATGTCAAGCAGTAGAATATGCCGTCTTCAAATTTCAGGCAGAATTGCGGCATGAGGCTCTTTTCTCTCATAGACGCTGCCCAACTGACCCTACTTTAAAGTGCTATCAAAAGAATCAAAACAAAGCGCCTACGCGAAATTAAAAGTATAAAATGACGATAATTTATCCATCGCACCCTATATATATATATATATATATATATATATATATATATATATATATATATGAAGAAATATAGTCTTAAGATGTACCATATTTATGGGATAAAAGTGCTCAATAGGATAGGGCGTGTGTAAATATAAAAGTGAACATCAGAAGTCAACACTTAGAGCTGACTGTCTGTTTCATGCTAGTGCAATCGTCAGGCCACGGTGGCCTGACAATTGCAATTTGAAACAGACTGTCTTAAGTGTTGACTTCGATAACTTTTATATATATATATATATATATATATATATATATATATATACCCAAGTATATAATTGGAGTATTTGGAATGAATTCCAATAACCAACAATTACTATTCTTAAAAGAGTGCTCAAAGTAGAGCAGATATAATTATTTATTTAAAAAAATTTATAACATAAATATGTTATAAAATGATTCTATAACATATGAAGTTATGAATTCTAAAATGATTTTATAACATATTTATGTTATGTCACATGGTTGGGCTTTCTTTGATCAAACCTCTTCCTAAAACATGATTTTTGGTTGAGTATAGCAGACAGATACCCTGCCAGATTAAAAACAAGAATAGTCTAAGGACAAATGAAGGCGCATAAGAACAAAACCCATCTAGCCAAATGTTGCTCAATGTAAGTGAGAGCCCACTAGACTTCGTTAAGACAGATTTATAAGTAGAGGAAAACTCTTATATAATTTTTGCCGTCGTTTGTACCCAATGATTTGATAAATATATTAGGTTGTCACATATGAAATGACACCTTTTTTACTTGCTTGTTGATCCGGTCGTCTAACGAAGTAACCCCCTTAGTATATAAAAAATCTTGACTTATACCTGACTCTTTTTCTCACAATATATTTTTACTCATATGCCTAATAGAAATGATTACAATGAAACAATGCCGAGTAATTTTACTGTATGCTTTCCCGACTGGAAAAAGAATCATTTTTGCATCGAATTATAAGATGATATGTGATAACAGTAAGAGAGTAGGCAAGTGGTTAGATGCAAGTCAGTCACCAAAACAATATTTCCACTGCACTCTAAAAGTTAATGGTTACTGTATGTTGGTCATTCAATCTTGTCTCAAGGGAAAACAATAACAGCAACGTAGTATTGTGGAGAAATTGTGCGTAAGCACGTAAAATTGAAAAAAGAAAACATCCTAAACTTGTGAATAAGGATGGTTCTAATTTTGCTGCTCGGTCGTACATTTCTCAATTATCTGTCCAAAAGCTTCATAATTATTAATTTCTTTCCTCATCCTTCATATACAACTGATATCTCTCCTAAAGATTATCACTTATTTAAGCATTTTAAGCTCTTCATACGCAATAAGACATTCTCCAATAAGGAAGAGTTAATCGAATCATTT